CTGAACCCCGATGGTAGGGATGTGCCTGCCTTTGCCTCCTAAACGTGTGCACCACCATAGCACCTGGCATGTTCTTTCTTTTCATTTTTTTAAAGAGATTTTAGATGTGCCATTAAGTTACTAATATGAGATCACCCCAATTTTTTTGTGTATAAGCACTTAGGGCTATTAAGTTGTCTCTTAGAATCACCTTCATTGTGTCCTGTAATTTTGGGTATGCTGTGTATTCATTTTCGTTCACTTCTAGAAAGTCTTTAATTGACTCATTTTTCATTCATTAGAGAGTTGTTCAGTTTCCATGATTTTTGTAAGCTTCCTGTTGTTGTTGATACCTAGCTCTAATCTGTGATAGTTAGGTAGGATGCCGGATGTTATTTCAATTTTTTGTTTAACTGTTGACAATTCCTTTATTTCTGGGTATGTAGCCAGTTTTGGAGAAAGTCTCATGATGTGCTGAGAAGAAGGTATATTCTTCAGTGTTTGGGTGAAATGTTTTGGACATATAGGTTAGGAATGTTGCTGCTCTGCACCGACACCTGAACACCACCTGAGAGAGGGCTGGGGAGAGAGAGAGAGACAGGGTGACACAAAGAAGAACAGCAAGTCTACATGCCGATCTTAGGTGTCAGTTTAATGGACGTCAGGTTAACACTTAACTAGGCAGAAAAGTACAAGCAGTTTCTCAAGCAGGCAATTTTACTTAGCCAAAACATGAGAAGGCTTACTCAAGTGACCTGCTGTCTGGTTACCATGGTTACATGGAATTTATGGTCTAGTTCTCAGTGCTGGAGTCCTCTGCTGTGTAACTGCCAAGGTCAATCTCTTAGCCACCAAGCTTTAGATAAGAACCAGAGCCAAGAGGCCGAATTCCCTTGCTGAGATGCGCACGCCAATCTGCCATTAACTCCAGGTGGGCTGCCACATAGGTCCATTTGGTTTATAACAAAATTAACTCCGGCATTTCTCTATTGAGGTTTGTCTGAGTGACCTGTCTATTGGCAAGAGTGGGGTACTGAAGTCACTCACTCTCAGTGTGTGAGAGTCAATATGGAATTCAATCCATAGTAGTCTGTCCTTCCTTCCTTCCTTCCTTCCTTCCTTCCTTCCTTCCTTCCTTCCTTCCTTCTTCCTTCCTTCCTTCCTTTCCTTCCTTCCTTCCTTCTTTTTCTTTCTCTTTCTTTCTTTCTTTCTTTCTCCTTCCTTCTTTCTTTGCTTTGTTTCTTTACTTTCTTTCCCTTCCTTCCTTCCTTCCTTCCTCCTTCCTTTTCTTACAAATATGGCTGCCCATATGTTTGCTGCATAGATGTTAAGACTTGCATTGATCTTTTGATGGATTTTCCACTGTTGAATATGCAGTGTCCTTCCACATCTCTTTTGATTAGTTTTGGTTGAAGTCTATTTTGGGAAATATTAAAATGGCTGTATGAGCTTGCTTCCTAGGTCCATTTGCTTGAAAAATCTCTTTTGATCTTTTTTTCCCCCTGAGATGATGGCTATCTTTGATGTTAAGGTTTTGTTTCTCAGATGCAGCATAAGAATGGATCATGTTTTCACATTATGTTTGTCCATTTTTTTTTTCCATTGGATAATTGAGACTGTTGAGAATTCATCAGTGAACAATGTTGGTTGATTCCTGTTTTGTTTTGTTGTTTTCTTTTTTCTTCTTTTGTGCTGCTACTTGTGTGCCTGTGTGTGTGTGTCTGTGTGCTTCCCCATTTTGTTTTTCTAGTCTGGAATTATTTATTCTCTCTGATTTCTTGGGTGTAATCATTTCAGGTTTTTGTTTTCCTTAAAGTATCATCTATAAGTTTGAATTTGTAGTAGCTATTGCCAAAATGGTTATTTTCAAGGAATGTCTTATTTTATCCATCTAATGTGGTAGAAAGTTTTGCTGCATGTTGTAGTCTGGCATCTAGGAACTCTTTTTAATTTTTTTATTATTATCATTTATTACAATTTATTCAATTTGTATCCTGGCTGTGGCCCTCTCCCTCTTTTCCTCCCAGTCCCACCTTTCCTTCCTCTTCTCCTCCTATACCCCTCCCCTAGTCCAATGATAGGAGTGGTCTTTCTCTGTTTGACCCTAGCCTATCAGCTCTCATAAGAAGTGGCTGCATTGTCTTCTCTGTGGCCTGGTAAGGCTGTTCCCCCCTCAGGGGGAAGTGATCAAAGAGCTGTCCACTGAGTTCATGTCAGAGACAGTCCCTGTTCCCCTTACTAAGGAACCCACTTGTAGACTGGGTCTATAAGCTACATCTGAGCTGGGGTTTTAGGTCCTTTCCATGCATTGTCCTTGGTTGGGATATCATTCTCTTCAGGGTCCCAGGGCTCAGTTATTATGGCTGTGTTGGTCTCCTTTTGAAGCTCCTGTCCCCTCCAGGTCTTTCTGTCTCCCCTTTCTTTCATAAGATTCCCTGCACTTTGCCCAAAGTTTGGCTATGAGTCTCAGCCTCTGCTTCCATATACCTCCATCAGTGGAGTCTTTCAGAGACCATCTATAATAGGCTCCTGTCCTGATCCCTGTCTTCGCCTGCTTCTGATGTCTATCGCGTTTGTCCTTCTGAAAGAGGATTGAGCATCTTCCCTAGGGTCTTCCTTGTTGTTGAGCTCTTAGTGTAACATTGTTTGGCTCTTCTGTCCTTTAGACTCTCCACTGAGAATTCAGATGTATTCTAAAGGGCTGCCATTATATGTTCCTTGTTCTTTTTCCCTTTTGGCTTCTAATAGTCCTTGTTTGTTCTGTGTGTTTACAGTTTTGATTGTTTTGTGTTAAGGGGACTTTCTTTTCTGGTCCAGTTTATTTGGTGTTCTGTATGTATCTTGTGCCTTGATATGAATCTCCTTCTTCAGGCTAGGAAGCTTTTACAGTTTTGTGAATATTTTCTGTCATTGACCTATGTTTGTTCTTCTTCTTAGATTTGACTTTTTCAACACTATTCCAGATTTTCTGCATGCTTTGTGCCAAAAACTATTTAGATTTAATATTTTCTTTGACTTGGGTATTCATCTATTTTGTCTTCAATGGCTGAGATTTCTGTCTTCCATTTCTTGTATTCTGTAGCTGAGGATTGCCTCTGAGATTCTTGGGCAAGTTCTTAAATTTTCATTTATAGATTTCCCTCAGTTTGGATTTGCTTTATTGCTTCAATTTCTACTTCCAGGTCTTGCACTGTTTTATTCATTTCCTTCTACTGTTTATTTGTGTTTTCATAGATTTCTTTGAGGATATATTCATTTTCACTAAAGTGAAAGGACTTCTATCATATTCATGAAACTATTTTAATATCTTTTTCTTATATTTCAGCTATGTTACAATGTTCAAGTCCTGCTTGTGGTAATGTTGCAGGATTTTAGTGACGACTCATTGTTCTGGCTGTTATTGACTATGTTTTTATGTTGACATCTAGGCATCTGGGATTAGGAAGTTTGTAAATTTAGGTACTGTGCTTAGCCTGTTTGCTTCCTTAGCTTTTCTGGTCAGAATGATCTGTAGGTTGCCAGGAGTGCCTGATGGAGATGCGGCCTGGGATAAAGCCATGAATGTGGGGAAAGCTTTTGGAGATGCTCAGGGGAGAAGGAGGCTGTGTTTATTATGCACAGGGCCTGGAATAAGAAACAAATCTGGAAACAAACTCATTGTCTACCAACTAACAGAAGGAAAGTAACAGAAAGCAAACCTTTTGGGTAGATATGATCAATGAAATATAATACGGCAGCAAAACTATAGCCATTAAGTCTCGTGAACATAACGTTGAAAACAGAAAAAAAGTCATAAAATCCATTGGATTCATTTCCAAAAAAACTAAAATATGCAAAAGTATAATTTTATAAAATATGTATATCTTTTATGAATCTTACTGGAAATAAGGCCAATTAATCAAAACAAAAGTTTGTCTGTGGTTACATCAGGACTGAAGCTCTTTGTACACAGGAAAATAGTTTTCCATTGTTGTACATAATGGTCATGTTCTACTTCCAAAATCTATCAGGATATTTTTGTAATTAGTTCTTTCCTCCTTGGTATTTTTTCTTCTAATATATCATGGATATTATTTTAAAATGTATATTTACCTTAAAATAAAAAAAAAACAATGTTCCAAATGAACCATGCCAGCAGCAGAGGATAAAATGGAACTCTCCCTCCATAACTAATTCTATATGATAATAATTCCATAAATAATTTTATGCATTCTGTCACACAGTGAGAATTAACCTATAAATAATTGGGTACAAAAATACGTTAAAAAGCACAAATGGTCAATTGAAGCTATTCATAATTTTGCTATTTAACAAGCCAAAATTATTTTTTAACAAAAATAATAATTATATAATAATAATAATTTTTAAGAAATGTTTTTATTCTCTGGAAAAGTTTCTAGTATGATCTCCTTGGAATAGTTTTTCTCCATATCATTTTACATATCTTGCTCTTCATGTCTTTGTCTCCCTGAGCTTTTTTTTGTCTCTATCTTCCTTTGTTAAATATATATATATATAATACGCTTTCTGAAATTTTCAGTTTATAAATGAGAGAGGAATGTTGGTGCTAATGTTATGAGATAATGTATATAAAACTCAAAGGAGAGGAAGCAACACTTATAATACAGTGAATGTTAGATGTGTAGATGTGAATGTTACAGTTTACTGCTGTTATTCCACGTGTTTTCTATTCATCTTCTAGATTCTTTCAAGCATATCAGTGACCTGATGTATTACCAGGACTTAATTTGTGATTACACAATGTTTCCTTTAATTAAATAATATTTAATATTTCCTCAAATTATATAATATATTATATATGCTGAAAATATTTATATATGCTAATTTCTAGGCTCAAGGTACAATAGAGTACACATATAACTACATTAGTGACTGAGAAAAGAATGGAAGCACTAGAAGAGAATGCTATTCAAATGTGAATTTCTACTATTGAGAGTGAAGTAAAACTGTGTAAATTGTTGCACATTGTGAAATATCACTAATATTGTCTCCTTGCTCAGGAAATTTGCTGGAAAGACAGAAGTGAAGGAGGCCCCGCCCGAGGAGTCACATGACATAGCTGTGAATCTCAGAAAAGCACGTGGTAGCCCTAGTCTTGACAAAGAAGAAAACAATGAGAAGAACTTCATGGAGTTTTTAGCTATCGTAAGGAAAATGTGAGTATTTCTTAATGGAGCAATTTTTTTTTCCAATGAAGACTGTTTGACTAGTTTTTCTAGTTAGTTGCTTGCAAAAGCATATGCATTATTCATGACTTAACATGAGTGCTGAGTTTAGAAAAGGAATGTCTGGAGACTGATATGACAACCACCTTCATGAACTCAATATTAATGGCAAGCTGTGTGTTTATTGCTAAACTTGCTTTCCCATTTTAATTTCACATTGCAAGCAAAACATGTGCTGTGTACTTAAGCAAAAAAAATATGGTTCTGATTTCATCAGTTTTCCTCCCTCATCTATTTTATTCACTTTACAGCCCTATAGAGCCTTCCCTCCACCTCTCCCAGTCCCACTCTCTCTCCTTTCTTCTCTTCCTCTCCTTTTCCTCAGAAAAGGGGAGCTCCCTTCCCCATCCATCCCAGTTGCATCATCAAGTTGCATCAGGACTGAATGTGTCATCTTCCCCTGTGGTCTCTCCAGGCAGTCCTGCCAGGGGAAAGTGATCAAAAAGCTAGCGGTTGAGTCCTGTCTGATGCAGTCCTCACTTCCTTTACTGGAGCACACAACTGAAGCCTAAACGCTGCCCATCTCTGCAGGGCTTCTAAGGCTGCTAGGTCCAGTTCATGCATGGTCCTTGGATGATGCATCAATACGGATTTCATTAGATTTTGATTATTTGATGGCTTTTCACAGAATTTAAACTTTCCTTTCTACCACAGAGCCCTTAAATATACTTTCGTTAGCTTATATTTCCTTGAGCACTTTGTCTTGCAATGGGGACAACAGTGCTTAGTGGTAGAAGGAAGAGAAATGGGGAAGGGATGAACTCAGGATGAGAAGGAAAGTGAGATTATAATATAGTTCCACCACTCACCACTTCTTCCTTCCTCTAACCCTTCCCGTATACCTCTTCTTACTCTCTCAAATTCAGAGCCTCCTTTTCATTAATTGTTGCTATATATATACGCATATTTATATACATACATACAAGATTGCTGATCTAGTTCTCATAGCAGTTCTTTGAGGCAGCTGTGATGATTTATAAGAACAATATGTGTTTTGAAATCAGTTTTTCCACTTCTATAGGATATAGAAGACCTTTTTCCTTGCCAACTTGATACTAGTACTTTAGTATTGCTGTTGTTATTTGTTACATTATTATAAACTTACTAGCTTAAATAATGTGAATTTTCATATCTTTGTGTATGTGTCTATGTGTTTCTTTTTCATTTTAATATCTTTAGGCATAGTGTATCCAGAAGTTTCAGCCAAGGTATGCAGTGAGCTGTTTATTTCTGGAACAAGAACGACTTTTCTATGGTTATGTTGCTGTTGGCAGAATATTAAATTTCTTACAATTGAAGGACTGACACCTTCACATTCTTGCTTGCTCTCGGCAGGAACATCAGTTTTAGGCACTTCCTATATTCTCACTATCTCTCATTCTGTCACTCAACACGAATGTTTACTTTTTCAAAGCCAGCAAGGAAGAGTTAGTGTATCCTTTCTAAAACTTTAACTAGTTAACTCATTAATTATTGTTGGGGAGGAGACATGTCATGTGAAAAACAGAGGACTTTTTGGAGTTGGGTCACTTTGTCTACCTGTCCATGGGTTGCACTTTTACTGAGGTTGTCAGGATCGCACAACTGTCCTACCTGGATGAACCATCTTGTGGGCTTAAGTCCATGTTTCTTTTGCGCTGTTAAAATGAAAAGTTGTATGACTCAATTCCACAACTGCTGCTGTAGTCTTATAGCTAAGTACAAGCTTGTGATTTTGATTCTACATCTAAACTCAAAAACTGAGTGTGTGGGTAGTACTTCTAGGCTGTTAGCCCTGTTGAGTAACATGGACATTTTATGTTAATCAGGTTTGTAGTGGAGTTGGACACTTTAAGTGCAAAACACAAAAGTGATTCAATTAAGTTTTGTTTGTTGATGAATAAGTTGTCAGGTCTGTAGCCTTTTGTTTATTTCTGACTGACTGAAGCATGGTCAGATAGCTTGATAAGCTGCTTTAGGGATGTAAAAGTGGCTACTTCACACTCTCTAAAATTCTTCGTTAACCTGTTTGAAATTTAATGAATAAAAATTAATTTTGAGTTGCCATAGATACTTTTAAAGGAAATGCTAATATTTCAGAGAATATTAAGAATCTATTGAAAATTGGTAACTTGGTGTGATACTTAACTGCACTGACTTCATTATAACTCCTAATTTAAGCCAGTAGTTCTGTATTTAGTACTGCTGAGGAAAGATGGCGTTGAAAGATTAAAATCATCAACTGACGTCAAAATCATTGAGGTGGCATCACTCAAACTATTTGAGAGCTAGATGGTACAATATCAGTCAATTGTCAAATAGGCATGTTGAAAGAGAAGAGAGGAGGAATGATAGTTAAATTTTGCTTTTTGTTTTTTTTTTTTTTTCAAGAAAATGGAATACTACTCAGCAATTAAAAACAAGGAAATCATGAAATTTGCAAGTAAATGGTGGGAATCTAGAATTTTTTTGCTTTTTAAAGCATATCAGATTGACTACAAATTCATTAAACATGGTAGTTAAAGGAAATGAACTCTGCAGTAAGAACTGGCATTGAGTAATTAAAACTACAACAAAGGAAAACAAGAATGAGAAAATTAGAAAAATCTTAGATATTCCCACAATGACAACATAAATACCTCCTGAAGGTGCTAATTGCTCTGCAGCTCTAAATCTTCCCAAGAGGTAATTTAGTATTCCATTATGTAAATGTACCACAGTTTTTCTGTATCCATTCTTTGGTTGAGAGACATCTAGGTTGTTTCCAGATTCTGGCTGTTATGAATAAAGCTGCTATGAACATAGTTGAGCAAATCTCCTTGTTGTGTGGTTGAATATCTTTTGGGTATATGCTCAGGAGTGATATAGTTGGGTCCTAAGGCAGCACTATTCCTAGTTTTTTGAGAAAGTGCCAGATTGATTTCCAAAGGCGTTATACTAGTTTACACTCCCAGCATCAATGGAGGAGGGTTCCCCTTTCTCCACATCCTCTCCAGCATATGTTGTCACTTGAGTTTTAGCCATTCTAATGTGTGTGATGCGGAATCACAGAGTCTCAGCTATTATAAACAAGGAAATCATAAAATTTGAGGGAAACTTATGGAACTAGAAAAGATCATCCTAAGTGAGGTAAAGCAGAAAGACATACATCATGGAATATACTCACTTATAAGTGGATATTAGCCATATAATATAGGAAGAACATACTAAAAAGATGGAAAGATGCTTAATTCTCATTCAGAAGGGAAAACAGGATAGACACTGGGAGAGAGAGAGTGGGATGGGAGCCTACCACAGATCTCCTCTGAAAGACTCCACCCAGCAGGGGATCAAAGCAGATGCAGAGACTCATAGCAAACTTTGGACAGAGCAGAGAGAGTATTATAGAAGAGGGGGAAGAAAGAAGGACCTTGAGGGGGCAGGATCCAACAAAGCCAAAAACCTGGCCCAAGTGGGACTACAGAGACTGATATAGCAACCAAGGACCATGCATAGAGAGGACCTAGACCCCCTGCTCAGATGTAGCCCATATATGGCAGAGTCTTCACGTGAATCTCCTAGTAAGAGGAGAAGAGACAGTTTCTGATCTGCACTTGGGTGCCTGCTCCTCTGATCACTTTTTCTGGTGGGGCAACCTATCCAGCCCAGAGGAAGAAGATCCAGACAGCCCTGATGGGACCTGATAGGCTAGAGTCAGACAATAGGGGAGGAAGACTTCCCCTATCAGTGGACTAGGGTAGAGGGATAGAGAAAGAGGGAGGGAGGGTAGGACTGGGAAGAGGGAGAGGGCTACACTGGGATACAAAGTGAATAAATTGTAAAAAAAATAATGATAATAATAAAAAAGATAGTTTAGAATCAAGCCTCAAACACCACTTTTGATTGGTGGTTAGTAGGAAGTCTGCTTGTTTTTGTTTTGTTTTGTTGTTGTTGTGTGTATGTGTGTGTATGTACCCATTAGACAAAAACATCAAAGGACAGTATATTTTGAGGAATACCTTTATTGAATTTATGCATAATTGGCAAAGTGGAACACTTCAAAAGAAAACACTTTCAGAAGGAGTAAGCATTGAACAACAAATACAACTAGAAGCTATGAAGAATTTTGATGTTCTAAACATGGAAAATTATTTCGCCATTGATGAGTGAATTCAACATAAGCTTTTGAGCTCTTTTTAGTAATTGTTTCAGCACTGGAATTCAGGAACATACAGTGTTTTACTTTATGAAGAACTTTAATTTGTAAATAAAAGTGATTACTGTGTACCATGCTACTCAGTGATGACGGCTTAGAGAAAAGCTAACCCAGCCTCAGGAGATAGATCTTGGTGGAAACAATCAAAAATTCTCTGTGATGGGCAACAGGATGGGATATTGTATGAAATAAGAAAGTAGAAGCCAGATGTCTCAGATAAATACAGTTTGTGGAATAGAAAACAATGGCCAGCAAGGAGGTCACTTTCTTGAAAAGTGAGGAGGGCTGGGGAACAGGGAGGAGGCCTCATAAGCCTTCAGGAGCCAGATCATCAAGAAGTGGCTCACAGGCTGTGATGAGATTTATGGTGGTGGGATGTGAACAGCCCTTGTATTTGTAGCCCACTGTGGTTGTCATGAGGAGGTTCAGGGTGGGCTTTCCAGCTGTGGTATTGACTATTATACCACCAGCTTTTGAAATGTGATTATGAAGTGCTTTGTAGAAAACTATTTATTTATTTATAATCTGCTAAGTCCTAAAAAAAAAAAAGTGACATATATGGGTTTGGAGATGACACAAAGAGTGTGAGACACAGGGAATTAAAACAAAACAAAACAAAATGATCTGTGGAAGCAGCTTGAGATCCTTAGAGAAAACTTGGCCCAGTTGTTAGCTCTTCTACTTTCTCCAATTAAAGATGCTTCCTTTGAAGGAATGAGGCATCTGAAGATCATTACGTTTCGGCAGAGCAGCAACG